GTGGTCAATATTTCCATCCAGTACACAGAGATGGCTTCTCCTCTCGTATGGCCATCATTATTAGACAGCCAATAAGTCTCCCATATTTGACGGTTTCTTCCCGGTCGCGCGCCAAGGTCAATCAGATGCGATAGTTGAGTCCATTTCCGCCTGGTGGCATCGTTTTCACGGGGCTGGAATGACGACTCTTAAGAAAGCTAGCTCACATCTGGTTGTTTCAGCACAACTGGTCTTCAGGTCAGTGAATTGCCACAAAGAGATTCAATTGGCGGCGGATTTCGCGTTACTGTCAATCCCATGGGACATGTTTATGGAGGGGCAGACTAATTCTTGCTAGTTGTGTCGGGTTTCCAGTCCTACAAAGCGTATGGCCAATATTTCTTGAGCCCCACACAGCGCACGTATTTCTATCTGCCTTGATTTATTGCGCGATTAACGATCGAGTTTCTGAAGCAGCGTTTTTCTATCCACCTCGACAAATGGTGGCTGCCGCCAGCTCTGTGAACGTGCGATGAATTTCCTAGAGTCTACTAAGAGTTAGGGACTTGCTTTCCTCGATTTCGCCATCACTGCCGGAATAAAACTAATCGTCGTGCCAGAAGACACGAATCATCGATCTGAATTGATTGTGGTTTTGAGTTGAAGAAAAAGTTTTAAGGCAATTATATATTGAGGGATTAGCTGAATTTGAGTGAAAGGGGCTGAAAACGGACGTCATGGTGGTTTATGATGCTCGCTGTTCGCTTGAAACCAAATTTTCTAAGGAACTGCTTTGAACGTTAGTGAGGTGTTGAGTTAAGTGTATTTCTTACATTTTCTGCTCTTTTGTTATGAAGCTTTAAATCTCTAGAATCTTTGTCGGAAACATCTGTATGGTTTGAAACGAAAGTAGAACCTAAAATGATTCAGTCCATAGAACGAACGACAGTGACTTATTGAATTTTCGATCTTTCTAAGTTGACTTAACAGTGACAATTAATCACTTAAGTGATGACTCATTCTGAGGCGTAGAAGCGAATGTGACCCGAACCTCCACAAGTAAAATAAAGTGTGAAATTCACGCTCCGGTATCTGTTAAGGTGTAGACATTGCGTGCTGGCAAATAAAGTTGTTGGTACTATGAGTTCCATCGACCATCGTTATAAATATAACATTACAGGAGGTTCAACATTCGAACGGTTATAGGATTGACCAAGATGCAATTCAGATGAAGAGGTGACTGTAGACTTTGACAAGAGATGGGATGTCTAGTCAAGCTTATGTAAAGGTCCGCAATACCTTTCGAATATAAACCAGTCTAGTCTGGACGTAATCTCTTTTGTCAGAGAGAGGAGGTGGCGAAACTTGGTGTTTCTCTCGTCGAGGATCATTAGCGACGTTGATCTCTTTCTCAGGATTTTGTAACAGGAGGCATT